TGAGACCTGAGGGGAAGGAGAGGGTGCGTGCATGGGGGGGAAGCGATGAGATTGGGCCAGCTGTAGATCCTCTCTCCAGATTAGTGAGTTTTATTGTTTGATTACGGGATAGGAATCTTGAATTCAGTTTTGGTCAAATCCATCCTTACATTTGGTTTCAATACTCATCCAAAAACACTGATGATTTGTGTGCATGTCTGATTAAATTCTTATAAAGTTTATAATACATACAAAATGAATAATCTGTTGACCTTCCAGTCGCACCTGAAGTATTTATATTGGCCACACATAAAACAGCTTGAAACAATAGATTTGTGAAATTTGTGTAGAGACCTGAGGGGAAGGAGAGGGTGTGAGGAGTCAGGTGTCCTGCTCTTTCTTGTAGATCTTCTCTTCAGGTTAGTGAATTTTATTGTTTTATTACAGGATAGGAATCTTGAATTAAATTTTGGTAAAATCCATCCTTACAAGCTGATCAGTCTGAACAAGCTGGCAATACATACTGTATATACTGTAGATGTTTATTGTAGTGGCTGTATAATGATGCTTTAAGCAGCATTCCCTCCCCCCCATATATAAAATGCCAAATATGTTAATTATTTCTTGTATTACGTATAATAAATACAATATCACATACTAAATATAAATACATATTAATTTATATTAATCATATATTTATAGAGCAAGCATAATGCATATGAAATATATTAATGATACTATATTTTATTAAAGTATTAAAGTATATTATTTAGTATATTATATTATATTATACATTTTAAATTGAACTAAGCTGAATAATGACTCATGACACTTACTTTGCAACATCAACACTTATTAAACTGAACTGACTTTATCTGAATAATAACACTATTGTCTTCTGTAGAGCTGCTTTACAGCTGGAATTGGATTTGATTAATAATTGATTAATTTGACCACATTAACACTGATATTTTCCTGTTCATTACTGTGAAGCTGCATTGAAACATGCCCTATATCAGTAAATAAACAATAATGCTCATTTAGAGTCACTGACCCAAACTATTACACAATGACATGTGCTTGACTTGTCAAATCATGTGTGTTGTGGAGAATTGTGCTGGTACTTTACTAAGTCATCAGATGCACCATTTTCACTTAAAGGAGGAATGTGAGCTATATTTAGAGAGCAGAAGGTCACTGAGACGCAGGGTCTCTTTTCATACCAGACAGAAAAAAACACTTAGAAACCACCCAAACCAACCCTAGCAACCACATAGTGACACACTGTCATGGTGATAATTTTTGCAAAGTCAAGCACCACTTATATGATTTCAGAAAATATGAAAATCATGTGGTGTTTCTTCCTTTAAAGTGTTAGTTTAATTGAAGATCCAGAGAGGAAAGAAACAAAGCAGAGGTGGACGTGAGCCCATCTACTGCTCCAGCCAACATACTTTTCTAACCCGCAGCACTGAATAAATCTTGTTCTTGCTCTACAGCAGCCAAGCCAAAAGCATGACTGTTTCAGACATTAATGGATAAGAAGCAAAACCAGTGAACTGCTTGTCAAAGCATGGCTATATAATTGCTTTCAGACAGTGAAGCTGTGAGGCTCTTAGAGCGAGATGGAAATATGTTTTGTGTTCAGCTATAATGAGAATGAAGACTGATTGAAGCAAAGCTGAATACCATATAGTCATACAACACTTGTGTTTTGTCTGGATGTGCTTCAGTCTCATTTTTGGGCAACATCTGGAAACTCGTATAGTGTGAGAGAATATGTAACATTAAAGTTACTCAGCCGAACATGAGTAGTTAATTATTCCAATCAGCTGTTTCTGTTTAGCTCCCTCGTTTAGTCAGTCCCTGTTTCATCCTACTCTTTGTCTGGTCTCGTTGATGTATTCTTTCATGTGGATGTGGATGTGGATTTACTTATGTTATTCCTCCTGGATTATTAAAATGACTTTCTGAGCTACTCAGTATTGTGAGTTTTGGTTGAAACATAACAGAAGACCAGACAGAAAGTTATTTATTGGCATTTTTCTTTCTTTTGTTTTATTTTTTCCCCCAATGGATCTACCTGCTGTCCAACTCCTATGCCTTGAGAAGGAACATTGTTCCTTGGAGGTCCACACTTAAAACTTTTTGGATTTGGCGTACCAAACTCACTATCTGGACTTAGGCACGCCTCCCAGGGAACAGTCACCGGGTAAATTTGGCTGCTTTCGTGGAGTAGGTGCTGGTGAACAACAATTCGGTGTTCACCATCTGCCTCATGTTGGAGGATTTCACCAGCCCCACTCCAAATCCAGAGCCCAGCCTGCCATCACCCCACTGCATGGAGTGATCGCTTGAGCCCACCACAGACGGAGAACCCAAGCCTGCCAGCACAAGAGGAAGTGAGTCATCAAGCACCCCGGAGCCCAAGCCCAAACTCACATCTGACCAGGTGTGTGAGCCGGCAACATTGCACATCCCTGAGGGAGTTTAAGTGGAATAAGAGGGAATGGAATGGAGCCCCATGCACACTCCCGCTACTGAGGGTGAGCTATCACTGAGCCTTTTAATATTCTGGGAGAGTTTGACCCCCTGTTTCTCTCATCTCCTTTGGCCCAGCCAAGCCCTGAATCTCCTGCATCTCTTGAGTACCCACCCAGCCTCCCTCTCCCACCTGGTCTTCCAGTATCCACCTGTTCCTCGCCTCTGCTGGCTCCTGTCAGTCCCTTGGCTCATCATCAGTCTGTTCCACCCTGTTGTGTGGATCCACCTCGGGCCTTCCAGTCATCAGCTCCGTCTAGGTGTGAGGATCCCCTGTCTCCACCACCAGCCTCTGAGCCCTGGGGCCTCATTTATAAAATGTGCGTATGCACAGATTTGATCTTAGAGTGTGCGTACGCTAAAATCCACGGCAACGTTCATATTTATAAAAACGGTCTTTGACGTGGAAAAGTACTTACCGCCACGTCAGGGTCTGAGCAGGCGTACGCACTTTTCCTTGTGGCAAAGTCGGAGTACTGCAGCTATTTGAACATCTAAGCTGCAGTAATAATAGAAGCGGTGTACGTGCAAGCACCGAATTCATCATAAACAACAAACAAAGATGCAGTGTATGAGATTAATTGTGCAGTGTAGTCAGATTTTTTATTAACGGGAGTTTTTGCGAGATTAAACTGACCTTTTTAGTAGCCTATGTTGAGAGTTCTTTACTCGCTTTCTGTACAGTTTATTCCATGTTTTTTTGTTTTTTTATTATTTTATTTTACAAGAGAACTTGCGAAATAAACAAATGCCAAATCACATGCAGGTTTTTTTTTTAGACCGGAGACCATAATCGTGTAATAATTTATTTTATTATGATATGAAACGTCCAGTTTTTCCAAGTGTGTGTGTGTCCAAGTTTTGCAAGAATTTCGTGATACTAAACTTTTTATTAGTTGTCATAGCAAGTGATTTTAAAAGTAGGATGGCTCACTTTTTATAAGATGACTGAAAATTTTACTTGAATTCGGATATTGGCGTGTGATCGTTTATATGGTAATGATATTAATTAGGGGGCGTTTACAAGGCGGAGATCTGGCACCAGTCAGCTGCGCACAATTTCAAGATCATTTGCGATTTATAAATGTCACATCTGGAAGAGAGGCGCACGCACGTGTTTTTGTGCGCACGTTCGTTTTCTCTGAATCGCATTTACGCACTTTTGAGAAATTATCTTAGAACAAATTTAGGACTGTTTATACGCAACATTTTATAAATGAGGCCCCTGGTCTCTACCATGGCCCTCCGACCCTTCAGCTCTGCTGGGCTCCCTCGTCCCTCCTGCTCTGCCTTGGTTAGTCATCAACCTGCCTCCGCCACGGGATTCCACTCCTCCGGCTTTGCCTCGTCCCTCCATCCCTCTGGCTCCTTCTGGCTCTTCATTCCCTTTGGCTTCAGCTTTGGCCTCAGTCGCTCCAGCTCCACCATGGTCTTCTGGGTCCCCGCCTCTGCCTCAGATGCATGAGCTCTCATCTCTGCCTTGGCTCTCCAGGCCTCCAGTTTCACCCTGGCTCTCCATCTACTGGCTCCACCTCTGTCAGCTCCATCACAAGAGCTTGTTGCCCTGGTTCCTCCTCCAAGGCCTCCACCATGGCTCCTTCCTCCTGTGACTCCACCACTACTCATTAGTTAATTATTCAATTCAGCTGCTTCTGTTTAGCTCCCTCATTTAGTCAGTGTATACTCCCTGTTTTGTCCTACACTTTTGTCTATTTTCTCTTACAACTTGTCTTTATTCTTTCATGTAGATGTGGTTTTACCTTTTCTCCTGGATTATTAAAGTGACTTTCTGAGCTACTCAGCTGGAATTTTGGTTAAAACGTAATATGTGTTAAGTATATTAATTACAATTATTTTATATTTATGCAATATGCATACTTTCATTCATATATATATATATATATATATATATATATATATATATAATGCAATTACGTTGGATAAAAGCATTAAATGCATGAATATAATTAGTGTACGTGACGACAACACAGAATTCATCAGTTCATGTAAACATTTTTAAACCAAACAATGACAACAACTTTTGGCTGATGATGACATAATTTGTAGTCCTGGATTCATGATGACATACTATGCCGCAATGTGAAAGAAAAATCCCACAAAATATGTTGTCATTTGCTATTTTTGATGCATGTATGACATAATGGAAACATAATGGAAACCAGCTGGCATTATTATAGTATACAGACCTCATCCTCTGACTATCTGAAAATCTACGTAGCTGTTAGCTTAAACATGATACTTGTTCATTGTTCAAAATGCTCAGATTACACACTGTTCTTGTGTAAATGATACATGTTCATTTGCTTTCTGAGGATTATTAAGGTCTTAATAAGTCCAGCCATGGTAGTGTACAATTTAATGTTCAGCCTTTCACCAAACTTGACAACATCATGGCATTTTTCCTGAGAAAGCCCATCATTTTTTATTGATTATAGGATCTGAATTCCTTGTGTTTGCAGGATGGAGGCATCTTGCTTGGAGTTGGCGCTGGAGGGGGAAAGACTGTGTAAAGCAGGAGATTTTAAAGGCGGTACAGCGTTCTTTGAAGCTGCTGTTCAGGTGGGAACAGAAGATCTCAAGACCCTCAGTGCCATTTACAGTCAGCTGGGCAACGCTTACTTCTACCTGAAGGAGTACGGCAAAGCCCTGGAGTACCATCGGCATGACCTTACGCTCGCTCGGTGAGAACAGTGCATTTGACTGCCGTTTATAGTCATCAATAGTTTCAGTTTCATGCAAGTTTGTGTTCAATGAAAATAAACAGAGTTGCATTGTAATTCAGGACGATCGGAGACCGGATTGGGGAAGGGAAAGCCAGCGGAAATCTGGGAAACACTCTGAAGGTTTTGGGCCGCTATGATGAAGCAGCTGTGTGCTGTCAGAGGCACCTGGACATTTCTCAAGAACAAGGAGATAAGGTGAGAAAACCTCTGTCAGGATGGCCTTATTAGATATGACTAGATGAAGAAAGTGATTTGCAGTTTTGTAAGCAATGTTCATCATACGGTTAATGTACAGACATAGCGTCTGAGATTATGATGAATGAAAACACTGCCGCTCAAGGTCAATATCACCTTTACTGGGGTTATTTTTGATTAATTTATTTTTGTGTGAGCAAGTACTCTCGCTGAATGGAGACTGAATGTGTTACTGGAGCACACATTGATGGATTTGATAACCAAACAAACCACACATATGATTTGCAGTTGTATTCTCAGGGAATGCATGAGCTGATAAAAATACCTTGAATGCAATCTAAGTCACCTTGGATAGAAGAATCTGCTAAATGCACAAATGTAAACGTATTGCCTTGACCATGAGGAATACAGGTTATGCAGTGTAACGTAGGCTAGTTTGGAGCAACTCTTGTGAGACCTACTTATTAGTGAATATTTATTGCAGAAATAATAAACTTTAAAAGAATATACGCAAGTGCACACTGAATATAATTTATTTTGGACAATTAAAATACATGTTAATTGCAATTCAATGAAAATATATTGTAGTTTAAATTTATATTAAATGCAATTAGCTGAATTGTAGAGTGTTTTGATCCACTTAAGCAAGACTTAAGTACATCTTTATATGTAATTTCATAATTACTTCTATTGTCTATGAAATATGGTTAAAGTACTGCTGAATGTACTGACAAACATTTATGATAAACTAAAATATTATTTAATGTCATTTCTATTAAAGTTTGTATATCATGTATTGTATCATATTTGTAAGTACACATTTGTAATGATGAAGTTGCAATTTAGTACATTTAAAATATAGTGACTTATAACTTATAGTAATGTAATATCAAATAACATTACAGTTAAAATTATAATCAAGCGCTTTACATGTGCTTCTTTAAAATTATTATCAAGTGCTTTAAGTGCTTTTTTAAAAGACAATATAATGATTAAAATATTATGATTTAATATGTACTTTGAAGTAAAGCTTTTAATTTGTCGATTACAAAGTGTACCTTTTAAATGTGTACTTAAGTGTGTTTATAGAAACAGTCACGAAAGTGTCTGTCTTTAAATACACTTAATTTTATTTCATTAATATTATAATATCTGAAAGTACGATTTTTAAAAATAAACTACAAGTTCACATTCAGTACAATTAAGCATGCAATGTTATAATGCAGCGTTTGCAAGCCATTGCACCTTTAATGTGATGTATCTCATAATTTTGATCTCATGTTGACTACAAAGTGCTGTCTAGTTAGGTGGCACACTTGGTTTCAGAGCAGAGCCATTGTGATGTTTCTCAAAAGTTTCTGTACTGTTGAGTCTGGTCTGTTGAATTGAAGAATTGAAAAATTAGAAGCAGTGTACAATCGGCTGCTGTGTGCAGGTCGGCGAGGCCAGGGCTCTGTATAACATGGGGAACGTGTTTCACGCCAAAGGGAAGCAGCAGCTCTGGGGCATCTCACAGGATCCCGGAGAGCTTCCTCCTGATGTCAGAGACACGCTGCAGCGAGCCACGGCCTTCTACGAGTCAGTCCAGCACACACACACACACACACACACACACACACACACACACAGAAGCATCTGAGCATCATTAGGCAGAACCCACCGAGACCTGTTTGCCCGACTGCACCGCAGCTCATTAACAGCAGATCCTGAAGGTTAAACGGCACATAAATGAGACGCAGAGAGACCAGAGGTGTCAGACGGAGGACAAACAGCCACAAACGGTCATTAGTAGCTCCTTCTGTGTGTCCATTTAGGAAAACATGGAAAACACGGCTCACAAATATTTAAGATGAATACTTCAATTGCATATCAGATCTGGACTGCAAAGATTTAACATTAACTTAATGTGATGTATGTTTGTCAGTCATGCATCAATGAAACAGATCATGGCATAGTTTATTATTAACTATTTGCATTTATTTGATGTTATTTAAATAATCAAAGTTTCATAATGCATTTATTGATATTGTTTAGAATCAGCAAGCACAACAGAAAACAATTACATTTATTCAGTTAAAAAGTAGGGCTTACTGTAGAACAAGCAATATTTAGTTAGTATAAGACTGAAACAAATGGGCTTCATTGATGGTTATTGTGCATTTAAAACACATTCAGTTTATTAGTATAGTATGGAAGCATATGGGTAGCAAAATTCATTTTGAAATGTAATATGCAAAATGACAATGCAATATGTAAAATGGCAATGTATTTCTGTATTTAAATTTACATTTTCCCATACATATGTGCAACATTTAGTGCAAAATGAAAATGAAAATTCAATTATATATTTTACTTTTGCCGTTTTCTACACTAGTTTTAATATGTAAATTAAAAACATATTTTAACGCTTTATAAGTTGCTAAATTAAAGTGAAATTGTATTACCCAAATTGATTAGATATGTTTAACATGTCCAAGCAAAAACTGTAGCAAAATTATCATTTAAATGCCATTTTTCCTAAATGCATTTAGACTTATGGGTAGGACACTTAAAATTGCATTTTCATCGTGATACCGCGTTATAATTGTAGCAAAATGCAGTGTGAATTTCAAAATGCATTCTGAGCCAAATGTGCAGCAAAATGTTGCAAAAATGGTGATTTAAATGTCTTTGATTTTTCTTAAATGCATTGACACTTACACGTAAGACGTTTCAATTGCATTTTCATTAAATACCCTGCAATCAGTGTAGACTAGTCAATGTGGATTTGAAAATGCATTCCGAGCCGGTCACGCCCCCAACCTGTCAATCATTATATCAAGGCGGGGCTCAGCAACAAGACGCACAATAGGTCAATATTCCCCATTAACCAAACACTTTTCACCTGCCTCAACATCTCACTGTTTTACACTCCGATTGATGCACATTTTTTCATTTTGTACTATATGTTGCACATATGGGAAAATATAAATTTAAATACAGAAATACATTGCCATTTTACATATTGCATTTCAAAATGAATTTTGCTACCCATATGCTTCCATATATTAGTACTGTTACAGAAATCTCACTGTTTCATTTATAAATATCTTTAAAAGATTATTAAAACATTAAGTAAAACTTTTAGTTTTAACATTATTACAAAGTGCATTTAAAAAGTGTATTTAAGTGTCTTTAGAAACATGAAAGTGTCTCTCTTGAAGTTGCCTTTTATTTAAGTTAATATTATATTATCTGCAGGTATAGTTTTTAAAAATATAAGAATTGAAGTACACTACAAGTGCACATTGTGCAGGTGTTATTGTTAAAAATCTATTTTTCTATGGGGAAAATGAATGTGTTTTTACTTGAATAAAGTGAAATGCAGAGAGTCGTTGTCTGTTTCAGGATGAATCTGTCTCTGGTTAAGGAGTTGGGAGACCGAGCCGCACAGGGAAGAGCCTTCGGTAACCTTGGCAACACTCATTACCTGCTGGGTAATTTTGTCGAGGCCATCAAGTTCCATAGAGAGGTACTAGCCAAACGCCACTGACCATCAGCTCATTCACTCATCTAGCTGATGTTAAGTCTCTGCTGCGGCTGAGACAGCAGTTAATTCTAGCAGGGATCTGCGTTTCAGAGTAACACAGTCCCTCCTTGTTTTTCCAGCGTCTCTCCATTGCAAAGGAATTTGGCGACAAGGCCGCCGAGCGCAGAGCATACAGTAACCTAGGCAACGCTCTCATTTTCTTGGGCCAGTTCAATGCAGCCACAGAGTATTACAGGTAACAATGACTACAGCGCCATCTAGAGGATGCATCATGTACGACCAGCTGTTTATTAAACAAATTTCTTGTTTTGTGAGGAACAAGAAGAAAAACACACACATAAAGGCAAACATAAGCAAAATAAATGAATGAATAAAATAATGAAAATAAAAGAGTATACGGATGCATCACAGTTGTAGTTTATGTACGTCTACGGATTATTTGCTGTGCGCTTCTGGCTGTGTGGTACAACTCACAAATAAGGGAGAGACATATGATCAGTTACACCTTGATTTAGACACTTTTAGGCATGTATTTATATGTTAACACGCTCTGTATTTTTCCCCTCATTGAAAACAATTTTACATTAAATAACTGAATAGTACTTTTGAAAAATCTGTTAATCATAAGGCTTATTGAGGAGAGGTGTGGTGTTTCTTTTAAGAAATTATTACTTTTATTTATCGAGGATGGATTGCATTGATCAGACGTGACAGTAAGGATATTTATAATGTTACAAAAGATTTCTATTTCGAATAAATGCTGTTCTTTTGAACTTTCTGAAGTTGAAAATGTACCACAGTTTCCACAAAAATATGTGGCAGCACAACTGCTTTCAACATTGATAATAATAAGAAATGTTTCTTAAGCAGCAAATCAGCGTATTAGAGTGATTTTTGAAGGATCAAGTGACACGGAAGACTGGAGTAGTGATGCTGAAAATTCAGCTTTGATCACAGGATTAAATTACATTTTAACATATATTTACATAGAAAACAGTTATTTTAATATCTAATAATATTTTACAATTTTTACTGTATTTCTGATCAAATAAACGCAGTCTCTGTGAGTTCTGTCACAGTCGTTTTGCTCTGTTGTTCAGGAAAACTCTGCAGCTCTCTCGGCAGCTGAAGGATCAGGTGATGGAAGCTCAGGCATGTTACAGTCTGGGAAACACATACACTCTGCTGCAGGAGTATGAACGTGCCATAGATTATCACCTCAAACACCTGCTCATCGCTCAGGAGCTTAACGACAGGTGTGAGCCGTGAACACACACATGCACACACACACACACACACACACACACACACACACTCTCTCTCACGTCAGCACGACTCTGAGCAGTAATGTGTTCTGTGTGTCTGGTAGGGTCGGGGAGGGCCGGGCCTGCTGGAGTCTGGGTAACGCTTACGTGTCATTGGGAAAGCACCGTCAGGCTCTGCATCACACCCGGAAACACCTGGAAATCTCCAGAGAGGTGAGGCCACACTGATTCTCTGTCATGCAGTGACAGTCCTGCTTGGTGTGCGTGTAACCGTGTTGTTTGCTTTGCTCAGATCGGAGACCGGAACGGAGAGCTGACGGCCAGGATGAATGTGGAGGAGCTGATGGAGGTCCTAGGGGTGAAGGAGGCGGATCTCTCTCCGTCTGAATCTGAGTTTAAAGTGCAGGGTAACACAGTCTCAGACTAATCATATCTATACAGTATGTGTATCTGCAGACACCACATTAAACACTTCACCCGGGTCACCAGGGTCATTATATACATGCATGTAATAGAAAAAATTAATCAATTTCAACATTTTAAAATGTTTGTTTAGTTAAATTCAAAGTACTGAAATTTGAATCTGAAATAAAAATGAATGCAATTAGTATAGATCAGGGGTGGGCAAACTTGGCCCTTCCAGGTCACTTTCCTTCAGAGTTTAGCTCCAACTCTAATCAAACACACCTGAACCAGCTAATCATTGTCTTTAAGACTACTAGAAAGCTACAGGCAGGTGAGTTTTATCAGGGTTGAATCAAATCTCTGCAGGAAAGTGGCCTGGAAGGGCCAAGCTTGCCCATCACTGGTATAGATATACTGTATTTTAAATATAAAAAAATATATATCTTAAATGACAAAACACACAGCAACACTATTAAAATGTAAACTAAAATTAAAATGAAACTAAAAAATATAAAAATAAAAATTCAATATATTATTAAAACCTATAATATTATCTCAACACATAAATAACACTGTGGTGGGGCTAGTTTACACACTATATGGTCTTTTCACAATGGAAGTCTGTTCGTTTTTTACATCGATTTTAAAATTATTCTTTTAAAATATAAAAAAAAAAAGCTGTCAGTGGAGTAACACGCCATATATACAAATGTATGAGACAGCTTTCCTAATCACGATTGACAGCTTATTTCAGTGCTAAAGTAATGCTGTAGTGTATGGCTGTCCAAAACTATGTCTGCAGTCTGTAAATTGATATTACATGAATTATCATCAATATTTGCTTCTTTTCTCCAACAGGAGCCAGACCCAAGTTCATCAAGAAAGCCAGCATGGAGAGTGTGGACCTGTGGAAATACAGCTCTGAACAGGTCACATGCTCAACATCTGAGTAACCAGGATTTTACAATGCAGGACATGAACCTGAATCAAAATCTTCTTTAGCTATTGAACAAAATGCCTGTTAAACAAACCCTAACCCAAAAGTCAACATCAAATAATGGACTCTCATCCAGGAACATGTCCTTCTTGGTAGAATCACGGTCATGCAGAAACACAGACACGTGTTGCTTTAATGCTGCTGTGATGCTGCTGTGATGCTCATGTGATGCTCTATGAAGCTGATGTGATGCTGCTATGATGCTGGATGTGAGGCTGATGTGATAATGTGATGCTGATGTGATGTTGATGTGAGGTTGGATGTGATGTTAATGTAATTTTGATGTGATGCTGATGGGATGTTTATGTGATGCTGATGTGATAATGTGATGCTGCTGTGTGTTGTTGTGATGTTGATGTGACAGTGAGGCTGATGTGATGTTGATGTGATGCTAATGTGATGTTGATGCGATGCCTGATGGGATGTTGATGTGATGCTGGATGTGATGCAGTGTTGTTGTGATGTTGATATGATGCTGATGGGATGTTTACATGATGCTGATGTAATAATGGGATTTTGATGTGATGTTTATGTGATGCTGATGTGATAATGTGATGCTGCTGTGTCTTGTGAGGCTGATGTGATGTTTATGTGATGCTGATGTGAGGCTCATGTGATGCTGTGTTGTTGATGTGACAGTGAGGCTGATGTGACGTTGATGTGATGCTGGATGTTATGCTGATGTGAGGCTGATGTGACGTTGATGTGATGCTTGATGTGATGCTGGATGTGATGCTGATGTGATGCTGGATGTGATGCTGATGTGATGCTTGATGGGATGTTGATGTGAGGCTGATGTGATGCTGGATGTGATGTTGATGTGATGCTGATTTGATGCTGTGTTGTGATGCTGATGTGAGGCTGATGTGATGCTCGATGTGATGTTGATGTGATGCTGATGTATGCTGCTGTTGTGCTGCAGAATGGAGATGCTCCGGATGTTGATGGTATTTCGAGGAGGTCAAGGAACCAGCTGTATCAGTCTAGCAGAAGCAAAAGTTACGCAGACAGTCAGTCATCAGATGAGAGACATTGGCTCGACTCACCTGTGGACACTGATGACATCACTGTTCATGTCACACCTCCAGTGAGTATCTATCTGTCTGTCTTGTCTGTCTGTCTGTCTGTCTTTTTTCTGTCTGTATTTATAAGCTTGTTTCCTCATGGGGACCAAAAAAGTCTCCACAAGGTCACATACTATATACTAAATACTCATAATGATGAGACACACACACACATTTATGTATGTATATAATTTCAAAACCTAAGCTGTGTATGTGTATATACGTATATATATATATATATATATATATGCTTACGTTTTGAATGTTGCTAGTGCAGCAGTGTTTTAATGAGATGAATAGTTTTTTGCTGACAGTCATAGAGTGTAAGTGTGCAGATGTGTCTGTCTGCAGGGCTTTAATTCAATCTGTTTTAAAGTGCTTCACTAAAGGTTTCACTTGATAGCCGTGGCTCTCTGTGTTCCTCTGTTAATCAATACACATCAGCTGCGTGGCTGCTAATGCATCTGTGTGCATGTGACTTTCCCAGAGGACAGGGAATATATGAAAATATGTCTCAGTGTGCATCATTTCCTGCTGCTGATGCCTGTTCACGACTATCATCTTATATTACACTGTGACATTATTTTACCAAGTTATTGGATTGCAAAAAGTATTTCTACATTATAGTAGCATTTGTAGTAAAATAAAAATTTTGGTATATTGTTTCAGATTATAAATAGATTTAGACTACTATTTTGATACTGTTTTAGCTGCTTGATTCTTTTATTTGATCCTAATTGCAGCTTACTCAAACCCTTTACAATACAAAAGCAGTAATTTTGCATAGAGGCTTCACACATGATTGTCATTATTTTAGGATCATTTTTAGCTAATTTTAGGTTCATTGTTGACATGGTAATACAAATAAAGACCCCAGTACTCGACCTTCGACACGCACAGTGTCGGTGGGTGTTTTAGGGTTTATGCGCGTGACCAAAGGCCATAACACCGGGGTCAGGGGTTTCTATGGAAACCGTGATGATGTTATTTGGACAAAGACCTTTCATGGTCCATTCACTCGCTCTCTCTCTCCGTATCTCACCCTCCGTGTAACTGAATTATTGAAGTAAATGCATGAGCAGCAGTGAGAGCTGAACAGAGACAGACGAGCAGTCAAGGGAAGGTGTAGCAGAGACTGGACGCTGACGGATGACAGACATATAGGCTGAAGAATGTGAGGTTTTGCTGTGCATGACTTTGTATTTGCATATATTTGTATGTGATCGTGTGTATTAACAGTCTGCGGTCTTTGAGGGTGTGTTTAAATAGTTTGTTTAACAGTCTCTGTTCATTATTGACCCTAAAATCCGTCCTCCCTCCCCCAACCGACCCATAATCAAGAGCCAAATTAATGAGTTGTTTTCCCACAGTCAGACACAAAGATGGACAGAGAGAGAAAGATAGGATGCACACTGATGGAATAGAGCGAGACGTGTCTGTGATTGGATGATCGGGCTGTGGATTAATGAATCACTTCATAAGTATTCATATTTAGTCTCACTATGATAGTGATCTGCTGGCTTTATATTGCGTTGCATTGTAAGATTGTGCTGTCAGGACACTTGAGCCTGAATGTGATTTGGTCTTGTGTCGCTCGATGAGTTGGGATGTGATGATTAAGTTTGGTCATGATAAGTGATTGTCTAACAGTGGTTGAATGTAATTAGTATGCATGCTGATACAGGACAGCGGTTGTTATGGTGGAATGTGCCCTCAAATGTGCCTGGTTTGTGTAAGTGTTGTTGGATAGGGTTGGGTCGCTCCGCATGCTCATTTCACTCTATTGACTGATTCCAGATCACTGAATCAAACAGCAGCTTATGTGCCACTGGCTTTAAGGTGACTTTGAATCAGGATGACTGAGATGTGTTACAAGGCATTTTGATTTTTAGTTATGAATCTTTCAAGATCTTTAGTTTTTGTATCTTAGTCTTGGTTTCTGTACCCTGCTATGGAGAGTGTTTTAGTGTCTGTGTATCTGACCACTGAAAGGTCATCGTGACACACACACACACACACACACACAGACAGACAGACAGACAGACAGACAGACAGACAGAGCTGTTGAGATGTAGATAAGCGCTCACATGAGCATTCACTAAAGTCAGGACAGATACACCAACACATGACCAAGAACCCGAGGTTCATACGCTCATATAATACTGCATTTTCACTAATATGATCTGGTGAATGTCACAAAACATGTTAGGAATTTGTCACAAAACATGTTAGGAATTTATATATATATATATATTTATATATATATATATATATATATATATATTTGCATGGTGACATTCCCCCATTTTCATTACTATAATGTAAAAAAAAAAAGATGTATTGTTTAAATAATAGTAAAGTATTTAGATTGTGGCTAAAGTATATTTATTATGCATGATAGTATCTTTAAATTTATGGTAATTTAGAAAAATTGTATTACAGTAATTTTATAGTATGCAATAAAAGATTAATTACAAAAACAAAATAAACATTACAAGTAGAACATCTGGATGCATTAAATTAAAGAGACTTTTAAACTTGTTTAGACTTATAACGTAAATAATATCACAATGCAAGAAAAAAGAAACCTAAAAGCTTTTCTTTATGCTCTTTTATTTATTTATTTTTTTAGATCTTTTGATTTACGTACTGTATATTATTTGTTCCACTTGTACTCCATGATGTTTTTGTTTTTCTGTATCATAAATATAACTTTCACACATATGCTACATTTAGACTGTAGTGCAATGTGATTTAGGCTCTATCCATTCAGAGTCTAATGGCTGTAAGAGTGATGGATGAATGTGGCATAATTATCTTTTGAATGTGCACACTGATGTCATACTGTGAATGTAACTGGTCTGATTACAGCTGATTGTGTAATGGTGAGCGATGAGCTGATGTTCTGCTGTGTGTTTTCTGCAGAAACTGGCTCGTGACGCGTCAGACGAGGACTGCTTCTTTGACCTGTTGAGTAAGTTTCAGAGCAGCCGTATGGATGACCAGCGCTGTCAGCTGGACGAGCCGCCCAATGGAGAGAATGCTGGAGGAGTGGATCCAAACACACTCAATGACATGATTGGTCAGTCACACCGTCTCTCTGACGCTCAAGAGATCTCACTGTTCCTTAAAGCAGGGGTTTTCCAGTTTGTCTAATTTCACCCCCCCCCCGTATTACTGTAGTCACACCGAATTACTTTATTAACATTAATATAAAAGCAAATATCCATTAAAGCTATTAAAGCAGCGAACAATAACATGAAACAAAAAAATGAATTCTATTTATAGGACCCAATCCTATCAATAGAATTAATAGAATTGGGTCCATTTCTCATTACTATAAGGTGAAAAAAGAAGCTTATATATTGTTTAAATAATAGTATTTATGTTATAGCTTTTTTATCATACATCACCATATCTTTAAATTTATGGAATTTAGAAAATTACTGTAATTTTACAGTATACAAAATATCTAATTACAAAAGAAAAAATGAAGAACATAAATAAAAAAAAAACATTTTTTTGCATGGTGACATTCCCCCATTTTCATTACTATAATGTAAAAAAAAAAAGATGTATTGTTTAAATAATAGTAAAGTATTTAGATTGTGGCTAAAGTATATTTATTATGCATGATAGTATCTTTAAATTTATGGTAATTTAGAAAAATTGTATTACAGTAATTTTATAGTATGCAATAAAAGATTAATTACAAAAACAAAATAAACATTACAAGTAGAACATCTGGATGCATTAAATTAAAGAGACTTTTAAACTTGTTTAGACTTATAACGTAAATAATATCACAATGCAAGAAAAAAGAAACCTAAAAGCTTTTCTTTATGCTCTTTTATTTATTTATTTTTTTAGATCTTTTGATTTACGTACTGTATATTATTTGTTCCACTTGTACTCCATGATGTTTTTGTTTTTCTGTATCATAAATATAACTTTCACACATATGCTACATTTAGACTGTAGTGCAATGTGATTTAGGCTCTATCCATTCAGAGTCTAATGGCTGTAAGAGTGATGGATGAATGTGGCATAATTATCTTTTGAATGTGCACACTGATGTCATACTGTGAATGTAACTGGTCTGATTACAGCTGATTGTGTAATGGTGAGCGATGAGCTGATGTTCTGATGTGTGTTTTCTGCAGAAACTGGCTCGTGACGCGTCAGATGAGGACTGCTTCTTTGACCTGCCTGAGAAAGGCTATCTGTTTGTGCACTTCACGTGTGTGAGCGGTGCGCATAGAAACGCTCTATCACAGTGCGCAAGTACCGCATTGAGATGTCTTGGGCTTAAATGGCTTTAAATTACTTTAATGTTTAAACTGACAAGACTTAAAACACGTGAGAACGAAAAACTTTCTCGAGGAAGCAGCACTGGCCTGATCGTTAAGATCGTTTTGGGGGGCTAAGGTGACAGATAGGGGGGCTGAAACCCACCTAAAAAGGGTTTAGAACCGCCCCTGGTATAGCGTGCGTAATTATACTGAAAACTATTCATTATTTTCAGCATTCATTAATACATTTTAAAAAACAAAAGTTGTATCTGTTCATATTATGTAATGGACCTGAGCTAACATGAGCTCACAATGAACAGCTGTATTTTTTATTAAGTAGCGTTTACAAAGAAAAATAAATGTAGTAACAAATACACTGTTCGTTGTTTGTTGTCAATGCATTAACTAACGTCAACTAATGGGACCTTATTGTAAAGTGTCACTGTTTTTTTTAATATTTTGAATTCATTTTTATCTTTGCAATTTCCTCTTTCATTTTAATTTTAATTAAAAGTTTTAGTAATTTTGTCATTTTAAAGTCATAATTTGATTTATTTTTCCCTGAAATCAACTTATGTACTAAAATTATACCTTTTTTTCCCCATCAAATGCATTTGCATTTTCTAATTTGCTTGAAAAACAGTTTAGTCAGGACCACCTTTGTCCAAAGATCTGACGAAGCTCATCATCAGTGTGAAATGATCACAGATTAAAATCATAAAGCATGAGTTGTTTGTGCTGTTTCTCAGATGCCAGTCTGCTGACGTCTCCCCAAACGGAAGAGCTCTTCGATTTGATCGCCAGCTCTCAGAGCCGCCGTCTGGACGATCAGAGGGTGAGCGTCAGTAACCTGCCCGGACTCAGAATCACCCACAATAACCTGGGCCACCTGTGTGGAGAGAGCGACCCGCAGGAGCCCAGCGACGACTTCTTCAACATGCTCATCAAATGCCAGGTGAGGCGTAGAGCCTTCAGTAATCAGTGAAAGACTAGATTGAGACTAAATGTGTCTGGGGTGTTTTAACTCACAGTGACTTTAGTTCTGTTCTAAACTCCAGTGAGCTGCCCAGAAACATCCTTCTATATTATGAGTGCGTTCGGCATTCCCAATGTCAAGGCTATGAACTAAAACTATTTTAAAAAAGGTTGAATTGAAGCTAAAATAAAATATAAAAATTACATACATGGATCATCTCCTCATCCACCACCAGTGTGCAGCATCCACCTGGATGATGCGATGGTAGCCATAGTGCGCCAGAACGCCCACCAGCTTACTGGGGGAGAGGAGACAGAGTGATGAAGCCAATCAGTAGAAATGGGGATGGTTAGGAGGCCATGATGGTCAGAAGCCAATGGGCAAATTTGGTCAGGATGCCGAGGTCACACCTCTTCTCTTTTCGAAAGACATCCTGGGATTTTTAATGACCACAGAGAGTCAGGACCTCGGGTTAACGTCTCATACGAAGGACGGTGCTTGTTGACAGTATCGTGTCCCCGTCACTATACTGGGGCACAAGGACCCACAGAGACCACAGGGTGAGCACCCCCTGCTGGCCTCACTAGCACCTTTTCCAGCAGCAAACTAGTTTTCCCAGGAGGTCTCCCATCCAGGTACTGATCAGGCTCAACCCTGCTTAGCTTCAGTGGGCGACCAGTCTTGGGCTACAGGGTGATACATTAAATACTTGAAATGAAAATTTGAAGTTAGTTGAATTGACTGAACTAACTGAAATAAATTAATAAACTTAAGTTGAAAATAAACTTAAGTTGAAGTACTACAATTACTAAAACTGAAATAAAGCAAAATAGAACTATTAAAAATTACACAGTTTGAAAAAAAATGACAAAAGTGCAAAACAAAACTACAACTCAATCATATTTTATTTCAGTTACATTTCTAATTTGAGTTTAAGTTTTAAAAAAATTTGTTATGGTCTTTTGTAATTTTTCATACTTTAGAATTATTTATAGATTATTATAGCATATTTTGAATAGCTTATTTTTTATTTTCAGTTTTAATTTTAATTTTTGTAATCTTATGTGCTTTTGTCATCTTTATTATTTTCTCCCCAAACATTTCTATTTATCTTTATTTTTATTTCAGTTTTAGTCATTTTAGCACTTCAACTTCAACAAATTTATTTATGTCAGTTGCCTAGGCAACAGTTCTAATTTTAATTAAAGTTTTTGTAATTTTGTTTTGTGCTTTTGTCATTTTTAAATGTTTCTATTTTGCTTTATTTATATTTCCATTTTAGATTTCAATTTAAAATTATTTTGGTACTTCAACTTCAACTTATTTTATTTCACTTGCCAAGGGAGCATTTCTTTGAAAAAAAAAGAAAAGAAAAATGGCACAAACTAAAACGAAAATAAAATCCGAAAATCTAATTCAAAATATCACATAAAAACTATAATACAATATAAATAATGCTCAATTATGAAAACAAAAGGACATAAGAAAATGAGTAAAATTTAAATTAAAATGAAAACTGAAAGTAGAAAAATAAAAGCTAATTCCAAATATTAAAAAAAAATATTATAATAATACATGAATAACACTAATAGGCCTATAATAGTATATAAATAACTTCATGTACTTCAAGTAAAATCAAAGAACGAATGGGAATGAATTAAGTCATTTTGACTTAATCTAGCCAAAACAAAGTTTATTTAGAGTTTGTTTCAGTGGTTCAAAACAGCTTGCCAGCACAAACCTTCTGGAGAACGTGTTAAGTTGTGAATCAAGTTAAGTTAGTGGCATCACTGCTGCTGGTTAGTTATTCCCAGCACTGCTGGAGAAGTAACGCATGTGTGTTTGTGTCAAATAAAAACAGCTGTCTTCCACAGCCTAGTGAACTGTTTCTCTTTGCATATGTTTAGTCGTCCAGGATAGATGACCAGCGCTGCTCTCCTCCTGAAGGGGGTCCGCGGGCGCCAACCGTCCCAGATGAGGATTTCTTCAGCCTAATCCAGAGAGTTCAGGCCAAGCGAATGGACGAGCAGCGTGTGCAGCTCCCGTCTGACGAACAGGAGCCGGATGAGGACGAGAGAGAGCCAGGGGCCGCAGACTCCTGAGAAAACCCGGGGCCAAATAACACATGCAACGAGGACCGAATGAGAAAGGACATTTGATGGGGAGTATTTTAGATTGACTCTTTCATGAGATGAAGAAATGTGCACAAAGAGACGCAAGTGAAACATGAAAACACAAGTGCCATCTCAGTATACGGTGCAGATTTATGCCTCCTGTGCTTTACAGCCAATGATCCATGACGTTTAATAGAGATTATACTGACTGGAGGAACAGATACTTGGGACGCAACTCTCTGGGCGAACTCACATTTGCAAACACTGCCTGCACTGTTTCAGCACCTGATTAACAAAATAAATGTAACAAATCATGTGCAAACACTGTAAAAAGTAGTTTGGTCTTCTGTTTTTTTAGCAAAATATCTAAACAGCAGGAGAGCTGATGTACTTTACAGAGACCGTACAGCATCCAGATGCCCTTTTTAAAATGCCCAAAATGTCTGGATCTGAAAGTACAGCCAGTTAAAACCAACTTCTCCATTTGATCATTTATGCATTTAGCAGACACTTCATAAACAGAGTGACTTATGGTACAACAAAGGAAAAAAAGCAAGAGACTTCACATTATCTACATATTAAAGGGATAGTTCACCCAGAAAGGAAAATTTGCTGTTGTTTTACTCATTCTCAGGCCATCCAAGATGTAGATGACTTTTTCTTGAGTAGAACAGTAAAGATTTTTTAGCTGAAACCATGGTGATTCATAAAATGCAATTCAGCGACTACCCATCTTTGAGAATAAAAAAAAGCATATCAGGATGAATCAAATGAATAACCGTGGCTGATGATATTTTGAGGTCTTATGAACCAAAACAATCGGTCTTTGCAAGAAACTAAACATTATTACCTGTAATCCAGAGCCTCAGACAAACAGTCTGTTCTTTTTGGTGAACTAGTTGAACCAGTTCACCAAATCAAACTGAACCATCTGAAACCGTTTGCAGCTCGAGCAGCACAGATCTACAAGTTACTCAATCAAAACTAATTTTCAGATGCCTGACAGTCACCGCAACTCGAAATGAGCCAAGATAGCGGCGTGTCTGATCCTATGATGAATGAACTCATTCAGCGCTCCAGTTCATCCAACACTCACTGAACTCACGAAACAGTTCAGACACGCACCGAAGACCGATGAGCCTCTGAAATGCGCATGCGTGAACCGAGCACTTGAATAAAGGGGCCAAATGAAAGGTTTTGCATTGTTTATTATGGTTTATGTAAAAAAGGTGAGCTGATGAAGACTAGTTTATTCACATTTATATGCTTTAGACATGTAAAACATCCACATTATACATCACTGCATATGTTACATCATTGCATGATTATGTAAACAAACTGGTGAACTGGTCATTTGAATCAGTTCATTGAAATGAACTGTCTCAAAGAACCAGTTCGCAGAAAAGAATCAGATTGAGGCTCTGTATTACATGTAATAATGTTGTAAGTAATGTTCAGTTTGGATTTTTTCACTTCACAAGACCTCAATATATCGTCAGAAGCCACAGGTATTTATGCTGTTTTTGACTCTCAAAGTGACGGTAGCCATTGACTTGCATTTTATGAATCATCATGGTTTCAGTTAAAAATCTTCTTTACTGTTCTGCTCAAGAAATTAAGTCCCCTACATCTTGTATGGCCTGAGGGTGAGTACATTAACAGCAAATTTTCACGTTTGGGTGAACTATCCCTTTAAGCTCCACTGATGATCTGCTTTGTCCAGGCAGTATTAGAGCAGTGTTAATTGTATCGAGCAAATGCTGCTGACCTTTGAATCTGCTGGATTCTATAATAAGCCACCAGGTTAAGTTGGACGGAGGGTAGATAATGCGATGTGGTGCTGGTGTTTAGTGAATTCGCCCTGTTGTTTCCCATGTCAGACTTTCTGATCAAGCTTCTCATTGTCATGTGTTTCTCGTCTACTGCCTTATACTGCCTCTATAGACCTGCAGACTCTGATTGTATTCTTTGATATCGTGTTTTCTGAGCTTGTCAGCAGTATTTGGTCCGTGTCCATTGACAGTATTCCCAGTGTCGCGCAGTTGCCGCTGTATCTTTCACCTTCTTAATCGCAAGTGCATTTTGGTTTGGCTTTAATCATTTAGCTGCTGACAGCACTGTAAAAAAATTCAAGACATTAGGGCTGCTTTACATTCCTCTTTGTTTCTTTTGAATTGAAGATGCCGTTGTAACTCCACAGATGTATTTATTGAAAGTGTTGAGAAATCTGTAAAAACAAGCAAGCAAAAATAGAGACTGTGAAAATACTTTTTAAGTGTTGTTAATTGTGGGAAAGTATGTGAATGTGCATAAAAGCTAATTTAAGTTTGCACTTTCATGCTTCACAGTTCTTTGACTGAATTGACCGAAACAGCTTTTAGTTTTTAGAAGTAATTAGTGAGTTTTCCATAATTGGCTCCGAATCACTGAATCGTGCAGTTCAGACATTGACTGAGTTGCATTAGTTGTTCAATATTTTAGTCATTTGTGGCTGACTGAACAGCAGAGTAATGGCTCATTGATGGCAGTTTCACGTAGAAGCATTAAAAATACATTTTGAAATGTAAATCTGCAGTATTTTGGACGTAGAGCAATTTTAGCAAGTTTTGAGCATTTTTTTTTTTTAAATTTTTTTATTTGAGCAATTATTATTATTGGAAGGAAAGAAAATATTTAAAGTCAATTCACTGCCATCTTGTGGTAAAAGAAAATAAGCAAATGCCTCAAAAATGTTTTATTTTTTTGTTAACTCAAGGAAGTCTTATGCATTATGTATCATTCCTAAATATTTATGAAGTTACTTTTATTTTAAGAAGCTAAACATCTATTCATATTGATGAATGTTTCTGACTGATGCATGATGCGCTTGTGACTAACCCTCATTTCTAATATTACTTTATCTTACTACAGTGACCAAACCATCAGCTCACTGACTGACTGCAGATCAATAAAATATAGGAAGTATGTACTAGATTCATAATAATATTATGTGATGATGAGGTTAAGTATGGAGCTGTATTAGTAAATTAAAAAATAAATATATATTATTTGTCATGGTTTAACTGAATCTTTTTCTATTCCATTTGAGTTAACTATTTTCTCCCTGTATTATGATTTGCCTTCCACGTGCTGTAATAATATGTTGTGAATGAGTCTGAAAGCCTTTGAAAAGCCACTGCCCCAATGTACATAATTGTTTTATATTTATTTTCTGTTCATGAACATGCGAATGAATCCCTTGCTTTTAATAAAATGTTGATGAAATTGATATTAACCACTCCTCTTCATCAGCAGAGAAATATCAACAGGTATGAGGCACACATCACTCTCACTAAACTGTTTAATTTGTCTACTATCAGTGTGACTATCAGAAGTGGACATATATGTTGTGTGGTTGGTGAAGGGAGCTTCAAAGGGTATTCAGGCATCTTATAGGAGCGAACATGTTCGGATTGGAGGGCCCTGTGAATGGCATAGGGAATAAGGGAACATCAATTCAGTGAGGAGGGAAATTTACCAACTCCAGCACTTAAAGTTTGACTAAAATAAAGGCAGTAAAAAGGATTTCAGAACAAGTTTCAGAATTTAAAACTAACTCCAAATGTAACCCTGTTACTAGAAAAAAATTTTTTTTTTGGTGTGTGTGCAAAGGTATGTGTATTTGGTAATGTGTATTGCTTCTTTAAGAGACTGGCTTACACAGGGAGTTTGGTTGTAATGCACTTGGTCGAACATGTGCTTAACAGCATGTTTGTGTGTTGCTGTTATCACCTTGGTTAAAATTAGAGTGTCTAAGTTCATTCCTCCAATCAGGAAGGGGAGGGGGCGGGACTTAGAAAAAGTGCGAGGAAGATTGAAATCAGTAGAGAGAGAGACGCCAGAGAAGCAGGATATCTTGTGGAAGGAAATGAGATTGTAGATATTCTGGCAAGAGGAGCAATAAAGCATGAAACAGTTGATATACAAATACCGTTATGTAGAACAGAAATCAAAACCATTATTAAGGGACATACAAAAAAATATGGCAAGAATACTGGGACATAACTGATACTGGACGACATCTGTATAACATACAAAAACAAGTAGGCTTAAATAGTATTAGGCAGAGCAGGAATCCAAAGGAAGGAAAGATAATTACACGTCTTAGAATAGGTCATGCTGGTTTAAATTTTACATTACAGAGAATAGGAAAACACCCTACTGGTCTTTGCGACCACTGCAACACACAAGAGACAGTAAAACATATTTTATTCGATTGTAAAAGGTATGAAGAAGAAAGAAGGGAGTTAGAAACACAAGTTGGAAAACAAAACATGACCATGGGAAATCTGCTAGGAAAAACAATGTCTAGGGAAATACATAGTCTCATAATGAATTATTTGAAAAATACTGGGATAAGTGAAAGAATTTAATAGAAATATATAGAGGAAAAAAGAAAAAAAAAAATGTTAATTTTTGTTTTTTTATTTTATTTTTTCTCTCTCCTTGTCCTTTCTTTCAAAGTACTGCCCACACTCCAGTCCAGTAGGTGGCGGTAAAGGCACCTTTAAGTTGGTTTGCCAACTGCCAATAAAATTAAAAGAAGAAGAAGCAGGATATCGTCTGGATAACCGAGGATTTTAGGCCATAAAATCCTAAACGTTTCCAGCGACGATCTTGAAGTAAATGCAAGAAACAGGGTTTTAGGCCATAAAACTTAAAATTTCTTAAGTACAGTCAGCCTTTCGTCAACATAGAGGTACTACTCATGCCTTTATAGAGGGAATGAGAGAAGAGAGTTACGCATGATTTCGATCGGAGAAACTCTGGATTTTAGACCATAAAATCTTTTATTGTTTCTATCGATATTTATGTTCCAGTTGGTCTAGGAGCACTACTCGTGCCGCTAGAAAGAAAAGACGTGAGAAAGATTATAAAGATCCGATTTTGTATGATTCGAGAAGTGGACGCTGTTTATTTTATGTGAGTTCAACGTATGCTGTGTGATCAGCCTCGGACTCGGGACTTTATTTTTTGAAAATCCATTCGCGTAACAGTGAACAGAAAGTTTATTGTTTGGCGTATATCGACACGAGATGGATGGAGGACGCCACCAGATAGCCCTGTGAGTGCCGTGAGCTCAACAGGTCCTCTGGCAACATTGGATGACCAATTTGGCGCATCACCAGAAAGCCCTGTGAGTACCGTGAGCTCAGCGGGTCCTCTGGCATCGTGGGACGTCGCGTTTCAACCGAAGAGCTGAATCAACGTGCATCTACATGAACAATTTGATCACATCGGATCATTGAGGTAACACAGACTTTATTTTGTTGATGACCAATTCGGCGCATCACCAGATAGCCCTGTGAGTGCCGTGAGCTCAACAGGTCCTCTGGCATCGCGGGACGTCGCGTTTCAACCAAAGAGCTGAATCAACGTGCACCTACACGAACAATTTGATCACATCGGATCATTGAGGTAACAGACTTTATTTTGTTTGCTCGACTGAGCGAAGGGGCCCTTGTTTGTTTACTGGCCACAACGATCGCTAGCCTCGAATCAGGCCTGCAACGGGGTGGGTTTTAAGGGGATTTGTTTGTGTGTATGAGTGAGAGGCGTGTGGATCCACATATTTGTTAATCTGACCGGTCT